CCATAATTTGAGTTATGTACGGTATTCCTATCATGTTTCAAGAGACTAGATTCAGTTATGTTTCTTTCCATGACGGAACTGATGGGTAAGATGATCTGGGCAGCACATGTGAATTCTTCTTCTAGCTTTTAAGCAAGAAGAATCCTGATTTGTTTTTTTATATCTCTTCTTGAGTCTAAAATCTCGCAGCATGAAGCAGATATATTCGTCACAGACCAGCTAGAGGACATTAAACGTATATTTAATATTATCTCAAACTTGCTGTCCACAAACAGGTAAATGTCCCATTTTTCTCATTGATTTCCAACTTATTTTAATCACGATGTTAAGTCTTGACACTTAAAAGTGTCCTCAGGAAAAATTTTCTGCTCTTCTCCACTTCTACGTTATCACCAAAAATCCTCCTGATTTCTCACAATCAAGTTGATTTATCATGCATTCTTATTTTGTACAGTGTTACACAAATAACCCGCACATAAAAGAGAGAAGCTTACAACGACGTTTCGGTCCGACTTGGACCATTTACAAAGTCACACTAACCAGAAGTGGAGCAGGACGGCTATATATAGGCAGGAAGAGGTGGTGGTGGTAGTAGTAGTACAAGAATGGTATATAATACCGACAAGATGAAATTAAGACACATGCGCAACACCCGGGCATCCCTATCGTAGACGTTTCGCCATCCAGCCAACCACTGGATGGCGAAACGTCCACAACAAAGACAACCAGACGCTGCACATGTGTCTTAATTTCATCAGTAGTTGTAGTAGTAGTAGTAGTAGAAGAGGTAGTAGTAGTGGTAGTGGTAGAAGTGGGGAATAAGGAGGAGGAGCCAGTCAAATACAAAGGAAGGGAAGCACTGCAAGAGAGCTAGGTGCCCACAGAGGAAGAGCAAGCGCACAGAGGTGCGTGAAAGGGGAAGTGGTGCGGCGTCTGGTTGTCTTTGTTGTGGACGTTTCGCCATCCAGTGGCTGGCTGGATGTCGAAACGTCTACGATAGGGATGCCCGGGTGTTGCGCATGTGTCTTAATTTCATCTTGTCGGTATTACATACCATTCTTGTACTACTACTACCACCACCACCTCTTCCTGCCTATATATAGCCGTCCTGCTCCACTTCTGGTTAGTGTGACTTTGTCAATGGTCCAAGTCGGACCGAAACGTCGTCGTAAGCTTCTCTCTCTTTTATGTGCGGGTTATTTGTGTATCGTTCCAGTCACGGTATTGTGCCTTTTTTTGTTATTTATTGTACATTGTGTTTGTGTTTGTTTGCTTATGTGTATGTGTGTGTGTACTCGTCTAATTGTACCCACTTAATAGTGGTTGCAGGGGTCGATTCATAGCTACTGGCCCTGCTTCTTCACTGGTCGCCACTGTGTCCTCTCTCTCCCTGCTATACGAGTTTAATCATACCTCTTCTTAAAGCTATGTATGGTACCTGCCTCCAACTCCTCACTTTCCAGACTATTCCACCTCCTGACAACTCTATGACTGAAGAAATACTTCCTAACAAAACTGTGGCTCATCTGAGTCTTCAAATTCCAATTGTGACCCCTTGTTGCTATGTCCCATCTCTGGGATATCATGTGTCTGTCCACGTTATCATGTCTCCCCTGTCCCTCCTGTCCTCCAGTGTCGTCAGGTGGAGTTCCTTTAACCCCTCCTCGTAGGGCATGGCCCTTAGCTCCAGGACTAGTCTCGTTGCAAACCTCTGCACTTTCTAGTTTTGTGACGTGCTTGGCCAGGTATGGGTTCCACACTGGAGCTGCATACTCCAATACAGCCCTGAGGCACCTGGTGTACAAGGTCAGGAACGACTCCTTATCGAGATGCCGGAATGCTATTCATAGGTTCGCTGGTCAACCATATGCTGCAGCAGTTATTTGGTTGATGTGCGCCACAGGAGATATGCTCGGAATTATACGAACTTCAAGATCCTCTTCCTTGAGTGGGTTTGTAGTCTATACTCTGCGGCTTTCTTTGCCCATTTCCGATTTTCATGACCTTGCACTTGATGAGGTTGAACTCCAGGAGTCATTTGTTGTACCAGGCCTGCCATGGCCTCCTCCGACTGAATTCTCCTCATTAACTTCACATTGTCTGCAAAAAAGGACACTTTCTGAGTCTATTCCTTGCGTCATATCGTTCTAGGATTGACCCCTGTTGAACCCCGCTCGTCACAGGCGTCCACTCTGACACCTCATCACGTACTATGACTCGCTGATGACTTCCTGCCAGGTATTCTCTAATACACTGTAGTGCCTGCCTTGTCATACCTGCCTGGTCCTCCAGCTTTTGCACTAATCTCTTGTGTGGAACTGTGTCAAAAACCTTCTAGCAGTCCAAGAAAATGCAATCTATCGACCCCTCTCTGTCTTACTGCTGTAATCTTGTCATAGAACTCTAGCAAGTTCGTCTCACAGGATTTCCCGTCCCTGAAACCTTGGTTGTCGTCGATAAGTTCATTCCTTTCTAGGTGCTCCACCACTCTGATAATCTTTATGACTTTGCATACCATGTCAGTGAAACTGGTCTGTAGTTTAATTCTGCATGTCTGTCTTCATTTTAAAAAGCTGAGATTACATTTGCTGTCTTCCATTCCTCAGGTAGTTGCCCTAATTTGAGAGATGTGTTGAAGATTGTTGTTAGTAGTATGCAGAGCGCCTCCGCTCCCTCTCTAAGCACCCACGTAGAGATGTTATCTGACCCCATCGCCTTTGAGGTATCTAGTTCGCTTAGCAGCCTCTTCACCTCCTCCTGGGTTGTGTGTATTGTGTCCAGCATTTGATGGATGATCCCACCATTCCCCGTTTATGGAGTCCTTTCTGTCTCCATTGTGAATACTTCTTAAAATCTCCTGTTGAGCTCCTCACATACTTCTCTTTCATTTCTTGTGAGCTCCCCACCTTCCTTCCTCAGCCTAATTATCCAGTCCTTTACTGCTATCCTAATGCTGCTGTACAACACCTTTGGGTCGGACTTGGCTTTCGCTGCCATGTCATTGTCGTATTGTCACTGGGCCTTACTCCTTACCTGTGCATATTCATTTCTGGCTCTTCGACTACTCTCCTTATCCTTCTGGGTCCATACCTCCTATACTTCTTCCATTCTCTCTCGCATTTGGTTTTGGCCTCTACACCTCCGGGTGAACCAAGGGTTCGTCCTGGCCTTCTCGTTAATTCTGTTACACTTGGGTGCAACCCTCTCCTCTGCTGCCTTGCAAATTGTTGTCACATATTCCATCATCTCATTCGCTGATTTCCCTGCCAGTTCTCTGTCCCACTGAACTTCGTACAGGGAATTCCTCATGCCTGTGTATTCCCTTCTCTTGTAGTTTGTCTTCATTCGCCCTGCCCTTGTGACTACTATGTAGCTCTTCTATGTGGATAAATGGTTCAGAGAACCGACAAGTTGATGAATTAGACACATGTGCAACACTCGGGTATCATTACTGAGGAAACGTTTCACCACACAGTGGCTTCCTCAGCCAATACAAAGGAGAATATACAAAGAAGAATGGTTCTTCACCAGACTGAAGAAGTCACTGTGCGGTGAAACGTCTCCTCAATAAAGACACCCGAGTGTTGCACATGTGTCTAATTTATCAACTCTTCTATATAACTGTGTGTGTGTGTGTGTGTGTGTGTGTGTGTGTGTGTGTGTGTGTGTGTGTGTGTGTGTGTGTGTGTGTGTGTGTGTGTGTGGTGTGTGTGTGTGTGTGTGTATGTGTGATCAAATTTTCAAAAAGTATCAGTATTAGCCGACTTTTGTGATAAAACAAAAAATAGACAATGAAATACAAAAGTGCATGAATGTATAAATTTTATATAGAACATAATTATAGAAAATGGAAGGTAAACAAAGATAACAAAATCATTATCATTGCATAAATTCACATGACACTGTGACTGTATGATACTGAAGACTTGCGGATTTCCTTTACTGCAACTATACCGGGACACAAAATAATATTCATTGCAGGAACATTACTGCGGTCTTAAAAATTGCTGCTGGAATATTACTATGACTGGAGTCTTACCATCGTGGGAACAATACCATTTCGTTAACAATACTGTATATTGGTAAATATCGTGGTTTGAACGCAGTGATTTTAATGGAAACGTAGTTTGAATAATAACTTGGCTAGAATAATACTGTAGCTGGAATAAATACCATGGCTGGAATAATATCTTGGCGAGAATATTACCCTGAAACATTATCCTGGCAGGAATAATATTGTGTCGAACATTACTATAGCTGGGATATTGCCAATGCTGAAAAATTACCGTAGCTATATAATTTTCGTGGTTGAGCCAATACTGTGTGTGAACCATTCATTATCTTGGCTGTAACTTTACCTTAATTCTAAAATTACCGAGACTTCAACATTACCGTCGCTGGAATATTACTACTCTGCACCTCTCCTTCCGACAGTATACAAGTCTCCACACTGTCGCTTGATCTTCAGATTGTTTCAGACTATGGAACAGAACTCTTCTCCAGGCCGAGGAATTGACAACCTCAAATCTACGACTTCAAGGGTGATGGACTAATAATTGCATCGTCTTCACATCTCTACTGCTCGTGCCTGTTTTCTGTACTCGACTGAGGAACCCTACTGTGTAGGCGAAACGTTTCGGAATAAAGTTGCCTAACGGTTGCCTGTGTGTCTTACATACCAATATTACTACGGCTGAATCAGAACAGTAACTGTAAAATTAACGTGGAAGATACAATACATTGGTTGCAACATTACGGTGGTATCAGTATAAGAGAAGCATATCACAACTAATTATCGAACAATTGTCAAATGTCATATGCTAGAGAATGTGAAAGCGAGACACTCAGAAAGTCAGGAGACGAAATGAGGTGAAATTCAAATGACAGGTCTAGTGAAAAGGTATACAGAATGTAAGAAGACAAGTCAGTTGACGAGGAAATTAGAAGAAAAGTAATTAAAAGAAGTGAAGAAAAAGGAATTAGAAAAAATTACCACCTACTTGTCTAAGGAAGTCGTTCAGGAGCTCGTCGATTCTCATGATAGCGTCTTCCTGAGCTTTAGTAAGAGTGACCTTGTCAAATAAGGGCGAGGAGGTGACCAACTGCATTCCCAAACTCAGACTGTCAACAATAGCACTTCACTTATAAAAACAATAAACTGTAATTGACTACCACACTTAACAGTCTCAACTTCGTATTATTTAGTCACAAAAAGTATTACACAGTCACAATATTGTTAGTGTATTATACACTCAAAATAAATGATTATTTAACCACAGCGGTGTGTTTTACCACAGTAAAAACAATATAAGAGTAACATTAAAAACAATGTATTTCTTAATTCCAACAATGAATACTTTAATCATCCACAACAATTCATTCCTCACACAATCAAAAGTCACAATAGATGACAATACTTACACAATCAGCAGGAACAACATGGCTGACTCAAGAAGAGTATCAATGTGGGAATTTTGAGAATAATCCTTCAAACCAGGAAATCTGTTGAATTACGGTAAATACAATTATAGTATTCCCGGAAATCATGTTTCTTATATACATAAATAATACAAATACTGCTTTAGAAATGCACGTAAGAAAAAAGTAGAATATATTAGAAGACGTATCGGTCCAGGGACCTTGATTACTTCTAACATACAAGTTTAGAAGACAATATAAACGGAGAGTGAGATGTCACTGGTGACCTGAAACAATTGTCAAACAGGGAGGAGGACGAGTAGAATATGTGATCACGTGATTCCTATGCTGTTACATATTTGGTGCTTTACCAAACACAGGAGTCACGTGATAACAGTCTACCCGTCCTCATCCCTATTATATGACAATTTTCAGGTCACCATGAGTGACTCACCTTCACTCTCCTCATATATATACATTAATATATTTTATATATATATATATATATATATATATATATATTATATATATTATATATATATAATATATAATAAACTAAAGTCACTCTTACATTTCACAAGTGAAGTTCAAGGTTGTGAGAGTCACAGTAAACGTGAACTGAGATAACAGCGACAATGACGTACGTACTAACCCAACACACTTCTCTACACAACTAACCTCCTCCTCCCAGTCTTTATACCGTATATACCAGACATTGTCACGCCAGCAGGAAGTTCACTCTTCACTAGCGCTCTCTTCTATACGACTTGTGGCGCCACAAAACTTAGGCAGGAAGTGAGGAATATATGCACTTGGGGACAACCCAGTAATACCTATTATGTTCACACGCGCTTGTTACAACCTTCAGTGGCACAAAATGACGTGAAATTAAACACTATTTACAGACTGATTATAATATATGTGTACAATGTTTTAGCCAATGTAATACCTGGAGCATTATACCTGGAGAGGGTTTCAGGGGTCAACGCTCCCGCTGCCCGGTCTATGACCAGGCCTCAAACAACAGATTCAGATTCAAAACACCTTTAGAGCCAACTTTTTAATAATTCTACCCTAAAAAAAATTCCAAATTTTTAATAAAAATTGAACCTGTATGTGAAGACTTGATGCATGGCGGGGCGCGTGCAGGTGACTCACACTGGGAAAACACTGCAAGTCACGGAAAAAAAAATATCCAAGGGGAAAAAACTGTGGTGGGAGCAGATATGTGTGTTAGCGGCACAGGAGTTAAAACCCAGATATGAATAAAAAAAACTTGCCAAAATTACCTAAAATATAGATATTCAGATTATAATTATATATAATTATCAAATTCTATTATTCTGTGAGTATTCTCGTGAGTAAAAAAGAAATAACATGATATACAAGAGAAAAAAAATAAAAAAACAGCAACAGAAGCAATACTAATAATAGCAACAGCAGCAAACAGCTGCTATACTAGCAACAGCAGTACAAAGAACCACAACAGCAGCAGCAGTATGAGCAGTAACAACAGCAGCAGAAGCAGGTATTGCAGTAGTACCAAATCAGGAATAGCAGTAGCAGCAGCAGAAGGGACCGGATTCTATATTTACTGCGAATTCTTTTTTATTACAGACTGGGAATCCCCAGCATCTGACGTAGTTCCGGTGAGGGTTTCTCCACATTTGTTTATTCTAGCAACAGATGGTCTATGAATGGAGATGTTAAAGAAATTATGTTACTTCACTCTCTCTCTCTCTCACTCCCTCTCATATATATATATATATATATATATATATATATATAATATATTATATATATATTAATATATATATATATTATATATATATATAAAAAATATAATAGGTAGTAGGTTGGTAGACAGCAACCACCCAGGGAAGTACTACCGTCCCCGCCAGATGACTGTGAAACAGAAACCTGTAACTGTTTTGCATGATGGTAAGATTGCTGGTTTCTTTTTTTGTCTCATAAACACGCTAGATAACAGGGATATCTTGCTACTCCTACTTACACTTTGGTCACACTTCACAAGACACGCACATGCATGCATATATATATATATATATATATTATTATATATATATAATATATATATATATATATTATATATATATATACACATACATACATCTAGGTTTTTCTCCTTTTTCTAAATAGCTCTTGTTTTCTTTATTTCTTCTATTGTCCATGGGAAGTGGAAAAGAATCTTTCCTTTCCCTAAGCCATGCGTGTCGTATGAGGCGACTAAAATTCCGGGAGCCCAAAGGGCTAGTAACCCCTTCTCCTGTAGACATTTACTAAAAAGAGAAGAAGAAAAACTTTTTTAAAACTGGGATGCTTAAATGTGCGTGGATGTAGTGCGGATGACAAGAAACAGATGATTGCTGATGTTTGAATGAAAAGAAGTTGGGTGTCCTGGCCCTAAGCAAACAAAGCTGAAGGGGGTAGGGGAGTTTCAGTGGGGGGAAATAAAAGGGATTAAATCTGGAGTTCTGAGAGATTTAAAGAGAAAAGGGAAGGGGTAGCAGTAATGTTAAATGATCATTTAAAGGAAGGAGAAAAGAGAATATGAATGTGTAAATTCAAGAATTATGTGGATTAAAGAAAAGGGTTGGATGCGAGAAGTGGGTCATAATAAGCGTGTATGCACCTGGAGAAGAGGGGAATGCAGAGGAGAGAGAGAGATTTTGGGAGATGTTAAGTGAATGTATAGGAGCCTTAAAACCCAAGTGAGAGAGTAATTGTGGTAGGGGACCTGAATGTAAAGTAGGAGAAACTTTTAGAGAGGGTGTGGTAGGTAAGTTTGGGGTGCCAGGTGTAATGATAATGGGAGCCCTTTGATTGAACTTTGTATAGAAAGGGGTTTAGTTATGGGTAATACATTTTTTAAGAAAAAGGGGGATAAATAAGTATACAAGATATGAGTAGGGCGAAATGACAGTAGTTTGTTGGACTATGTATTGGTAGATAAAAGACTGTTTGACTAGACTTTAGGATGCACATGTTTATAGAGGGGCCACAGATATATCAGATCACTTTTAGTTGTACTCCACTTAAGAAAAGGTAGTGGGATACAAGGAGAATAGAAGCATCAGGGAAAGAGAGGTGAAGGTTTATAAACTAAAAGAGGAGGCAGTTAGGGTAAGATATAAACAGCTATTGGAGGATAGATGGGCTAATGAGAGCATAGGCAATGGGGTCGAAGAGGTATGGGGGGAGGTTTAAAAAAATAGTGTTAGAGTGTTCAGCAGAAGTTTGTGGTTACAGGAAAGTGGGTGCGGGAAGGGAAGAGGAGCGATTGGTGGAATGATGATGTAAAGAGAGTAGTAAGGGAAAAAAAGTTAGCATATGAGAAGTTTTACAAAGTAGAAGTGAAAGCAAGGGGGGAAGAGTATATGGAGAAAAAGAGAAGGCTAAAGAGTGGTGAAACAATGTAAAAAGAGAGCATATGAGAGAGTGGGTGAGATGTTATCAACAAATTTTGTTGAAAATAAGAAAAAGTTTTGGAGTGAGATTAACAAGTTAAGAAAGCTAGAGAACAAATGGATTTGTCAGTTAAAAATAGGAGAGGAGAGTTATTAAATGGAGAGTTAGAGGTATTGGGGGAAAATGGAGGGAATATTTTGAGGAATTATTAAATGTTGATGAAATAGGGAAGCTGTGATTTCGTGTATAGGACAAGGAGGAAAAAACATCTTGTAGGAGTGAGGAAGAGCCAGTTGTGAGTGTGGGGGAAGTTCGTGAGGCAGTAGGTAAAATGAAAGGGGGTAAGGCAGCCGGGATTGATGGAAAAAGATAAAAATTTAAAAGAGGTGGGGATATAGTTTTGGAGTGGTTGGCAATTATTTAATAAATGTATGGAAGAGGGTAAGGTACCTAGGGTTTGGCAAAGAACATGCTAGTTCCTTTGTATAAAGGAAAAGGGGATAAAAAGGGGTGCAAAATTATAGGGGGATAAGTCTGCTGAGTGTACCTGGTAAAGTGTATGGTAGAGTTATTATTGAAAGAATTAAGAGTAAGACGGAGAATAGGATAGCAGATGAACAAGGAGGCTTTAGGAAAGGTAGGGGGTGTGTGGACCAGGGGTTTACAGTGAAACATATAAGTGAACAGTATTTAGATAAGGCTAAAGGGGGTTTTTTGTGGCATTTATGGATTTGGAAAAGGCGGCGTATGACAGGGTGGATAGGGGGGCAATGTGGCAGATGTTGCAAGTGTATGGTGTAGGATTTAGGTTACTGAAAGCAGTGAAGAGTTTTTACGAGGACAGTGAGGCTCAAGTTAGAGTATGTAGGAAAGAGGGAAATTATTTCCCAGTAAAAGTAGGCCTTAGACAAGGATGTGTGATGTCACCGTGGTTGTTTAATATATTTATAGATGGGGTTGTAAGAGAAGTAAATGCGAGGGTCTTGGCAAGAGGCGTGGAGTTAAAAGATAAAGAATCACACACAAAGTGGGAGTTGTCACAGCTGCTCTTTGCTGATGACACTGTGCTCTTGGGAGATTCTGAAGAGAAGTTGCAGAGATTGGTGGATGAATTTGGTAGGGTGTGCAAAAGAAGAAAATTAAAGGTGAATACGGGAAAGAGTAAGGTTATGAGGATAACAAAAAGATTAGGTGATGAAAGATTGAATATCAGATTGGAGGGAGAGAGTATGGAGGAGGTGAATGTATTCAGATATTTGGGAGTGGACGTGTCAGCGGATGGGTCTATGAAAGATGAGGTGAATCATAGAATTGATGAGGGAAAAGAGTGAGTGGTGCACTTAGGAGTCTGTGGAGACAAAGAAAGTAGTATCAAGCAAGTCCATGGTCGACTGGAATATAATTGAATCTTGTTTCATAAAAAGCAGTTTTGACAACAATATGAATATTTCCTTTGGTTTATATAAATTAGATTCATTTATAATTAATAGAATTTGGGAAGAATTTAATAATACATTGGACAAATAATAATTTTTAAATTTCTTATTTCTTGGGTGGAATAGTTTGTTGGTGGGTTGTGTGAATTTCCTGTCTAGTTCGGCCGGCGGGCCTGCTGTCTCGCGTCAGGTGTTCTGTGACCTGTTAGTGAGGTGTGGGCCACCCCTTTATATATTCTCCTTTGATGCTTTACTTTCATTGTTCCATGATAATGTGAGTAGTCACGAAAGCGCTTGGAATTTCTCTATTCTTTCAGAGTGGTTGTTATATATATATATATATATGTGTGTGTGTGTGTGTGTGTGTACTCACCTATTTGTACTCACCTATTTGTGGTTGCAGGGGTCGAGTCCTAGCTCCTGGCCCCGCCTCTTCACCGGCTGCTACTAGACCCTCTCTCTCCCCGCTCCATGAGCTTTATCAAACCTCGTCTTAAAACTGTGTATGGTTCCTGCCTCCACTACGTCATTTTCTAGGCTATTCCACTGCCTTACAACTCTATGACTGAAGAAATACTTCCTACTATCTCTCTGACTCATTTGTGTCTTCAACTTCCAATTGTGGCCTCTTGTTTCTGTGTCCCCTCCCTGGAACATCCTGTCCTTGTCCACCTTGTCTATTCCACGCAGTATTTTATATGTCGTTATCATGTCTCCCCTGACCCTCCTGTCCTCCAGTGTCGTCAGGCCGATTTCCCTTAATCTTTCTTCATAGGACATTCCCCTTAGCTCTGGAACTAACCTTGTTGCAAACCTTTGTACTTTCTCTA